AGAATATCATTCCATTAGAGCTGAATTGCTTTATCATATCTGATAATTTAGCATGACGTCTCATTTAGTACTGGCAGGTGCCACGCAGTCCCTCTCCAAACCTCACTACTCTATCTGCCATGTGAGTATCACTCTGTAGTAATTCCTGAATTTTAGCTACAGTAAGCTGCCCTTCCTCTAAATTTTGCTTAACATATATACGTCCCTCTGCCAATGCTCTCTACCGCATTATAGAATTTAGCGCAAAATAACGCTACTGTGGATGACGAGCAAAGCGACCATCTTTGTACTTTAGAAGATATTGAAAGTATTCAGCCGGCTTTACTTCTCTTACTAGATGAGCATGTAGATCAGCGACACCACAAGGAAAAAGCGTAGGGAATGCACGTGCCATATATTCTACTGTGTGAAACTCATCAATGGGTGTACTATCAATATGGGGCCAGTTAATTATTAAATTTTCATTTGGTGGGCAATTATTTTGTAGACGATTCAGAGTGTTACAGATTGCATTATTCTCGCTATTTCCAGGAGGCAATGCAGGAACAAAGGTTTGTGAGATAAAATCGTCATTTTCATCGCTTTCATTGTTTTCTAATAGCTCTTCACTTTCATTTACATTTATTTGTTCATGATTTTCATAACCAAATTGGTTATCAGAAATTTGTGGAAGTTGGTCAACGAGCAAACCGTTCTCTGGTAGGGATTGTAATATATCATCCGCAATCTCAATGTCGTGGTAAAAAAGGTTATTTTCTTTTAACCAGTAAAGAGCTCGAGTAACCTTTTCCCTGTGGACGATAAAATCACGAAAAGCAGTTCTATCAGCAGAATGTCGCCGCACAACTAACATATCTAATGATGATGGGCAGTATGGAAGACGTGTTGCAAATTCTTGCACATCTTGTGAAAAGTTGATAACATTCCCATGATATGCATATTGACTACTACGCAAGTTGTAAATTGACACAACCGTAAATACTTGGGCAATAAGCATTTCTTCAATTTTGGTAAGGTCTTTAAGTTCTTGAGGTACTTCGCCTAAAAAAAAATAATAATAAAAAAATTAAATTAAGAAAATCAATTAAAAAATAAAAAAAAAAGATAAAAAAAATAAATTAATAAAAAATAAAAAAAAATTTAAAAAAAAAATTAAAAAATTTATTCACCTGGGTCCATATTGTTCTTAGCAGAAAATTTTTTTGGTGTGTTTTTTTTATTGTAACAGCGCCTGCATTTCCCTTTAACAATTTCAATAGATGGAAATTGTTCATTGCATACACCACAGAGATTGTTGCGAAGCTTTTTCATAGTATTAACAAAACTATGTAAAAGCTTCTGGTCAGCTGCAGAAAGTTGCTCTATGTTAGTTGATTCAGATTCCTAATGCTGTATAGAACTTTCTTGATCTAAACTAGGGCTTGCGTTCTCGGCTTCTAAAACCCGTTTTTCGCGCATAATTAGTGCATTTCTACATTTTCTTTCATTTCACTGTTCAG